TAATTAAGAGTAATAATTAAGAAGTATTTTTCTTGAGATTACCGAAACCTTTTTACCAAGGCAGGGTTTTATTGCAGAAGAGTACTGATTTTCCGGATTTCCTCCTAAGTTATCCTGTTTTGACTTGAGATTTACCAAGAAGCTAAACACCCTGTTTTATGTAGCCTAGGTGCACATTACCGGGTCTCGTGGTGCAGATTAGCGATGGGTTCTCTACACTATACAGACTATCCAAGGTCCGAGGCGGTCAAAGAAGGTCTTGGTCGAGGACGTGATTCGCAGTTTTCCTCCTCCCGTGCCTCATCTCACAAAGAGCCATTACAGTTGCTTTATTGCCACTTCTTAGCCACCGTTCTAGATAATTATGATGTTAGTTGGGAGACCAACAGTGAAATGATTCACCATTAGCGTTACTATTTTTCTAAATCATCAGCGATTTCGGGTTCAAGTTCAAAATTGTTGTTTTATTGATGATCTTTATTCTTAGTATTATCAACATGTATAAAATCAAACGTATGTTCATTCATCCGTTAATTTGGATTGAAATACTCCCAATATAAGGATTTGCTCTGAGACATCAATTTTTCAGCCGTTTCACTTGACCGATACAGTATTTATAATTAAGGTGTAATTTTAAAGCTTATGATCCAGCAGAGTGACGTATCGTAACTAAAAAGGTAAATTCCTCCAGGGTGTAGCGTCAGCTGATGTTAAACTTATGTTAGATTATGTTACGTTGTCATAGCAACGCATTATAGTTAGTCTGGTTTTGGTTTTTCTAAAGGATTGTACACAAACTGTAACTCTTATATTAAGATACTTTTCTCTTACTTATTTGGTCGTAATTTATTTGATGTACACAAACAACCACAACCAAAAGGGCTTCACCTCCTAGCGTTTAATTTATTTTTAAAAGCTTGCTCTTAAAGAAGCTGTTATGATGACTAATTTTCTTTAATGACTGGGACGGGTGGTGTCGTCCTGTAATCCACCTACTAGGAGGTCACCAATTGTGGATATTTATAGGTATGCACTGTGGATGCGATACTCCCTTGTGTGGATTAACGTCCGCACGGGTGAGTACTACGACTATCCGCAGTACTATCCTGATAATTAGACCAATTAGTATATACCAAGGAAACAAGTGGTTCGGATTCCACTATAAACTGTAGGTCCCTTAGTCGCCATTAGCTGTATGGGCTATTAATTAACAGCTGTGTCTAAGGAATATGTCTGCCTTAGTCACTAACAAGACTACAAGATCGCGCCACTCATCATACACTCATCTCCATTCATACTTGGCTTAAAATACCTACTTTGTATTGTCGCCATTTCAAAGAAACGTATTAAAAAAAGTATTAAAGTATTTATAACGGTTTAACTGTGAATTGTAATTCAACTGCTGATCCTTTCGTCCTTCAGTTTAATGTTTGACCACTGTCAGATTACAAATGTAATTTAAAAACAGTTGATGACAAACTTTTTCACCACACTATGATGTTTTTAGCTGTTTTACAAACGTTTTCTCTATTTCGTATAGTGTCGGGAAAAATAGTATTGAATGGAGTACTTAACGCATAATTAATTTCGACCTGATTAAGGTAGGGAAATCATTATTTTAGTGTAGAACTAAAATCAACAAATTTAATTTATCGTTAGGCCCTAATTAGTTGTTTTATTGACCTAATAACTGTTATAAACAAACTTAATCAATCTTTCATCGTTAAGATGGTGTGGCATAATTATGTTTTATGTGTTTGCCTCGGAGTCGAAAACGATTTGCGCAAGGGTCCAACTCGTAGTTATATAATCCTTTGTATTGACATCTGGTTTCCTTGAAATGTGTTTGATTATTTACTGAAATAAGCTAGGAAAATGAAGTCGACATCAACCCTTAAACACGAAAGTTCATAAAAACAGTAAACCATGCTTCGTATGTCACAATAAAGGTTGACAAGTTAGTGTAATAGTATATTACGTTACTAGTCCTGAAAAAAGTGTTTACCGGACGAGTGTGGTCATTCCCGTGCGAGACGAAGTCGAGTACGGGATTACCATACGAGTCCGGTACACACATTTTGGACGAGTTACGTACGATAGTTTACGCCATACTACTAAATCTGTACAAATCCTAATATATTTTCACCAACTAAAGGACTAAAAATCACTAGTCATAACCTCTAAGAGAGGTTATGTTTTTGCTTATAACCATTCATTGCCACCTAAATATAGTATAATCAGCTGATTGGTGTCCGGCAAAACTCATTACAGCACAGTAGTACGCAATGAAACCCCATTTGAATAAGCTGGCGGCAAACAGCTGTTTTCTGGACTAAATCCTTGCGTGGGAAGTTCGTCAAAATAATGTAGTGTGGTGTAAAGTAAATCTCATAACTCTATACTGCCCATTGCCCACACAATCGCCGCAAGACTGAGATTTTGTTCTGCACAATCTGGGAAACCCTTTCGTTTCAATGTTGACTCAGGGCTCTGTTAATTTTGTATTGTCATGCCAATATTAAGCTTGTTAGAATGATTTAAAATTTGATTTCCATTCCAGCAAATTTAAAATAAAAATTTTCACATTTATTTTATGTGTTTACTTGCCAAATGTTAAGCAGCCTGAGATTGATGAATTTGACTAGTAAATAATCATGGCTCGGTTATTAAAGGAAAAAATGTAAATCTTGGAAAAATATAGTTTTGATGATTTTGATGGAAATTGTAAGAATGTTGTCACAAGCCTTACTTTTATACAATAGGATGAGAAGTCCACTGTCAGTATAAAAAGGCAAAGTTCGGTAACACAGTAGTCAAAAATAAAAAAAAATATTTTTTTTATAATTAATTCTAGTTTAAAATTTTATCCTGAATCCATGGATACCAAATATGTTATATAATAAAATTTATTTGATAGATTTTTAGTCATTTATTATAAATCTTGCACAGCTGTTTCAGTGATCGCATGACAGCGGCTAAGGCTTTATATGAAAAAAAAATAAAATATTTTTTGTTTATAATTAATTCTAGTTTTAAATTTAATCCTGAATCCATAGATACCAAATATGTTATATAATAAAATTTATTTGATAGATTTTTTGTCATTTATTATAAATCTTGCACAGCTGTTTCAGTGATCGCATGACAGCGACTAAGGCTTTATATGCGATTTACCGAAAATTTACTTTTTTCTTCGTCCGGTACATTTTTTTGACACATTTATGAACCGATTTTAATGAAATTTTTTACAGACCTTCTGTGTATATTAACAAATAATAATAGGAAGTGAAATTACAAAATATTTGATACAACCCGAGTTTTAATTATTTTTTAATTAAAAAACGTTAAAATATTTATGTTTTTAAAAAAATTCATAAAAAAATTATTTTTGACTTTAGAACAAAAGTGGTTCCTATTATCGTTGAAAAAGGTGTGAAAGACAATGTATAAAAATCTCAGGTTGCTAGGATAATTTTTAAAGAAGTTAGGTGTACCTAAAAATGGTGAAATTAACATGGACGGGATAGGGACTACTGTGTTACCTTAAGTTATTTTTTTTTAGGCCGATATCACACAGAAATCGTTTAACACAATTAAGATTACAACTGGCTAGTTGAAGTACGACCTTTTGAAAAAAGTTTTCTAATATAACGTAGAGCACACTTTAATCGGGGACAAAATAATTTACAAATCCCTCTTCTCCCAACATAATTTTTAGAAGGCGGTAGTGCATGACTCAAAGCAGTGGGATTCCCCATTGGAAGGCTACTTCTATGAATACTGCTGCTACTTGCTTCTGTAAACAAGACTTGGTCTTATACATGAGTTACCATGGGCATCTAATTATTCAGCCAAACAAACGATAACCTTGCAAGAGGTGCGTCATATTGGCGCGAAGGCTTTACATTTGGAGGGAATCCCGCCAACCGGGAACAGTAAGTGATGTTCTAATCAAGGAGACATCATTGTAATTTGAATGTCTGTTTCCTAGTTCATTTTCAAGCAAAATTTTCCTTTGTGTTTAAAGTGTAGAGAGGATTAGTTTTCATCCAAAGTAATTTGTCGTAGAAATGTACATTGGAGTATTTAACAGTTCGAATGTAAGGCCATATTACCTTGATTAAGTCACAAGTAATTTATTTGGCCAGATTTACGTTAATGCATTGGCTAAGTCAATATTCATAAAAAATACAGATTGTTTTATAAACTATAAAATTGCTATTAAACTAAACAATATTTATATTTTAATCAATTTATGAACCAAGCATTACTGTATTACACTTTGAAAACTGTTGTTACGAATAAAATGTTCTTAGTACATTTTACGTCACGCATTCAACGCTCAACCTTTGTATTTTTTGCCTCAAAAACACCCGCCATTTTAACATCGAAGATAAAGAATTAACCAGTAATAAAACAATAACAATAACAATTAATATTATGGAAACTTGAAACCTACATAATCGTGGAAGTTAAATTCCAATTATCATTTAATTCACGTTTATTAAGTATCAGTTCATTTACTACCTTCATTACACTTCAATCAATACCTAATTAAATCAAAGGTTACGGCAAGTTTTTATTTTAACGTTTCGAAACCAGGCAATTTCAAAATGGAACAACATAGTAGACACTATGAATAAAAATGTCTTAAAATAAGTTAAGTCCTGATTGTAAACCGACTTCATATCCTATCCCTTCTAACCACTAAACAAACAATTTGAAACTCTCAAAAAATCCGTTTGAACAGAAATCTCCACATTAAAAACTGATAAAACAAAGCTTGTAATAGACCGCTGTTACATAACTCGAATAACATTGTAGTCTAAAACTGCCTGGACGATTTCATCGTTTTGCGCCGCGATCAACGATTCTGACCTCACGTGGGTCCTTGAAAGCGAACTCGACCGACAATTAGCATCATTGCAGATGGACTGTCCGACAAAACCGGTAGAAGAACAGGAGTAGAGGGAGAATTATAAAAGCGAACCTCACCGACAAACTATCAGTAACATCATGAGGGTTGGTGTAGTGTTGGTGCTGTGTTGTGTGTGGCTGGCGCTGGCTGAGGGTAGGTAGTACAGAATAGGCCATTGTTTGATATAATGTTTTAAATACTCTCACAATAAAAGGAAATGTACCCTTGGACCGTTGGACCATTGGTCCGTATATAAATTAAACCAAACCAGTGCTTTATTGATGCAACCATAGCTAAAATTTCAATTAAAATTTTAAATTATTAATCCTACGAAGTACTTTATGCACATTAAGTTTTACATTTTTGTACATATAAAAAGAATACTGCAATGAATCAGCCATTGCACGGACTATTTGATTTGGGAGCGTTCTGTACATTACTATATTAACAATCTGTCGTGATTGGTTTTTTATTAACCAACAAACGTTTAATATGGACAGAAGAATGCTTTTATACATTAATACAAATTTAATTTTGACACAAGTTCCCATCCATCCATACATGGAATCCAAATTGAGACTCCGCCATTTCTTGCCATTTAAATTCGTTTTAAGTCCTCCCCGGGTGGTTCACATTTTAAAATGAATCTATTTTTACTGTCGAGGATTACTTATAAATAGTTTTACCACCCGAGTTACGCTGGTTACACACTTGGCGGTTTTTGCCGCGGTGGCGAAACTGCCGTTGCCGCCTCGAAAAAAGTCGAGCTTACACATTCAGCGGCAAAAATACCGCCAAACATCGAGCGGCAAAATTACCACCACGTATGATCAGTAGCCAAAACAATTCTTGTAGTTCTTCATCGCTTAATGTGTTGTGACTTCTCTGTTTCTTGAGTGTTCAGAAAATTGTATTTTGCACATTTTTTCTAATTTCCCCTAATACACACTTCCTTCCACGCATTCCTTGTTGCATCTCAATCCTTAAATATGTCGAGGGTTTTGTCCCACAAAACTGGCCTCTGTTCTACAAATGATATTAACAACTCATTGTCTATAAACTTACTCATTTTCTCACACTCGTCAGCCACAAACACTTAAAACAATAAATACATGTTATAAACAACTCACAAACTTAACAACAAGATACAAATTAAAAGGCAGATTTTCAAAGACCTCTGACTTGGAGCAACTGGGAAATACGACTGATCAGCGGCGACGGTAGACAACCGCCAAATGTGTAAACGCCCATTTGGTCACGAACGCCACTGCGTAGACAAGAGCGGCAAAAACACCGCCCGCCGCAGTGGCAGTGGACGGCTGCACAGCTGCCGCTAACGGCGTTTCTGCTGCCCAGTGTGTAAGCTTCCATTTAAGTCTATAGACTACTGCTCGAACGGCGGCGACGGCGAAATTACCGCCGCGGCAGATCACTGAGAGCGGTGAATTGGGTGATAATGGTTATCTGGTAGTTGGAAGACCACCTATTATAGCCGCGGATCCTCCATCTGTATAAAACTCCTCAAAGGATAGGTCAGACTAGTCGACGTCGACACGACGAGTGCGTATTTGGCAAAGATGACTAAGTTTAAGGCAACGCGTTTTGAATTAATTATATGACAACTCTGTTACTGGCCATTATGTTCATTAGCCAGGCCTGATAAATGTAACGTTTGATAGAATGTCTGCCTTTGTCTACAGATATCCATCCGACAATGTAAACTAAGTTATTAGAAGTTTGACACATGTTTTGCAAATTATAAAACAGGAAAATCCTTTAAAATAATCTAAAACAGCTTGTATAACAAATAATTTACTGTAGTCTAATAATCAATGTACAATAAACAAATTACCAAGTAGCTTTGAAAAAACTCTTTTATTGTTTCGTCAGCTATATGGCAATGTAAAGTGTAAAAAGAGTTTGTATTGTGTAAGCAAATAAATTTAAACATTTTAGTTTTCTTACCATTTTTATAGAAACCGATTTATAAAATAGTTCGTTTAATGTTAATATGGTAACTTTAATGCCAGGGGGGTAGAACCCAAACATATAAAAGTTTAAAATATAAATAAATTTAATATCTAATTGAAAGTAAAGTTTAAGCTTAATAGAACAGAAAAATCATGTAGGGCCTATTCGTATAATCAGTAACGCATAAAGTACATACATTCATAAGGCAGGCAAATAAGTATTTGATAATATACCTACTGTATATTAATGTACTGTATTTTCTAATACTGAAAGTTATTATGGTCAGTTTTCAAAGTTTATGGGGTTTAAGGGGAAGGTTTCCTTAGTTCCCCGCCCCTTTTTAGCTGTATTTATTAATAAGTTGATGAACTCGAATCAGTTGTTTTTAAATGTATTTTGTATTTTGAAATTCTGACGCCATCAATCCCTTATTGGGTAAAAGATGAAGACATGGTAATGAGGTAACAAGGCAATAAGCTGTTGGCTGTTTAATGTTTACAAAGGAAATTTTGTAAAAAGGGTTTATAAATACAGTAGCTGTGATATTTGCTCCCTAGTTGTGCCTTTTATAGGTAAAAAAATGTTCATACTCAAATGCTTATTTGGTTTTGGAAACGTTGGACCTAATTAGTTGTCACAGTTTGAAGTTGGATTAATTGAATTTTACAGAACTAAAATGAAATAATTAAACCAATAATAGTTGTAACACAAAGTCACTCTCACGACTGAGGACCGTTGCAATTCATTACCTCGGTAAATGATACCAAACATATTCCATGAGAACGTCTTTGTCGCTGCGGCGTGCGGGACTGACTTCGCTCATCGATATACTACAACTACTACTGTTTAATATCGCTGGTCTCACAGCCCGCCGCAGGATTAAGATTTTTTCATCTTATTAAATTTCTTAACTATACCATCCCCACAATAGAATTCCCCTCATGTTTAAAAATTTAGAACATGAAAATTTTCCCGCATAATTAATATGTTTTGGGATTGTCTTGAAGTAACGACACTAGCAATATTTAATTTGTATGAAAGGTTTAAAGAATGTGTGTCGCAGCTAATATTGTTGAGGAAACTGACAGGTCCAGAACAATAAAATCAAATATACCGACCAGAACGCCTGAAAAGGCTTGTTAGGGCTGGGTCATGACTTTTATTGTTTTCTCTTTAGGCGGGGACACACTTGTCATACACCCTTCCGATCCTACTACGATCCGATTTGCGGGATTCCAGAAGGATCGGTGCGGGATCGGAGGGGGTGAACACACATGTCATACACGCTTCCGAACCGGCGACCCATCTCCGATTTCCTCCACCGGGTAGATCAACACTCGCCAGTTGATTCGTAAACGTAAACTACGTGCAGAAGGTGATAAATACTGTATGTTCCAAAACTTTGGTATTCAGGATTTAGCCATGGTGGCGGTATGTCTAGACGAAGAGGAAGAAAGTCAGACATCTCTGGAGGGCAGTGGAAAACGGAGAATTTGGGTCCGTTCTGCATGGAAGGAAAGCAGAAGTGCCCATTATATATATTATAGGTTTTTCTCTCTCGAGTTCGTTTAGCTCTTCTACCCGTCCGATTTTCATGATTGAGGTCTCGAATTGAAGGTATGCACGCACAGATTTCAAATCAAGCATCGGCATATATTTATCTTAAACCATTGTTCCTAAACCTTAAGAATAAAGGTTATTTTAAAGAAACTACCCGTCCTGCAACCGACAAACGAATAGACTGCAGTGTCGGTGCGTGATCGGAGTCAAAATCGGAGTAGGATCGGAGTATGACGTGACGCGTGTCGGAGAGGTGTAAACAACCGCGTTCAAAGTTATGTACCATTCCCCTCTCCGACAGTCGTACCGCAGTATGATCGGAGTCGGATCGGAAGGGTGTATGACAAGTGTGTCCCCTCTTCCGATCCTACTACGATCCGATTTGCGGGATTCCAGAAGGATCGGTGCGGGATCGGAGGGGGTGAACACACATGTCATACACGATTCCGACCCATCTCAGATTTCCTCCAACGGTCGATCAACACTTGCCAGTCTGATTTGTAAACTACGTGCAGAAGGTGGTAAACATGTTCAAAAACTTTGGACTTCGGGATTCAGCCATGATGGTCGTTTGTCTAGATGAAGAGGAAGAAAGTCAGACATCTCTGAAGGGCAGTGGAAAACGAAGAAATTGGGTTCATTCTGTATAGAAAGAAATTTAGGTGGTTTACTTAAGTGCCCATCTTATATATTAAGCACATTGGGTCTTCTCTCTCGAAGTCGATTGGCTCTTCTACCCGTCCGATTTTCATGATCGAGGTCTCAAATTGAAGGTATACACGCACAGATTTCACATAAAGCATCGGCATATATTTATCTTAAACCATTATTCTTAAATCTTAAGAATAAAGGTGATTTTTAAGAAACAACCCATCCTGCATCCGACAAACGAATAGACTGCAGTGTCGGTGCGTGATCGGAGTCAAAATCGGAGTAGGATCGGAGTATGACGTGACGCGTGTCGGAGAGGTGTAAACAACCGCGTTCAAAGTTAAGTACCATTCCCCTCTCCGACAGTCGTACCGCAGTATGATCGGAGTCGGATCGGAAGGGTGTATGACAAGTGTTCTCTGCCGAATTCGGCGGCTAGGAGAACACAACAGAAGGGTCAACCCTTCTGCGTTTATTCATTAAATTTCAATATATCGCGGAAGATCAACTACTCTAATATACACTTTGTGCAGGTGGTCGGACCAGGCTACGCTCAGTAAGGGCGGCCGCTAAATCACCTTACGGGAAAGCCTACGGAGGATATCCAGGTGGCGGATATGGAGGGTACCCAGGAGGAGGCTACGGGGGTGGCTATGGGGGCGGCTATGGTGGAGGCTACGGAGGAGGCTATGGTGGATATCCAGGTGGCGGATACGGTGGCTACCCTGGTGGTGGCTATGGAGGCCACAAACACAAGCACAAGCCAGGGTACGGAGGAGGTTGCCCTGGTGGGTGTGGAGGAGGTTATCCTCAGCAAGGATATGGAGGCTATCCAGGAGGTCAGTCTCAGTCTCAGTCTAACTCCCAGGCGCAGAGCTCGGCCTCCAGTCAGGCCTTCGGGCTGAACACTCCCATTGGACCGTTCGGAGCGTCCTTCAGCCAATCACAGAGTCAGGCCAGCTCGTCAGCCAGCGCGGGAGGAGTTGGAGGGTAGGTGGTCAGATTAATAGAGTAGAAATTCTTGTGCTTTTCAATATCAGTCATTTTAGCGAATTTCCCTATAGGGAAGTAGCTATTTAGCGAATTTCCCTATAGGGAAGTAGCTATTACCGTAGGTGGCATGGTAAGACCTAGGCCCGGGACCGATTTACTTTTTCATTTTGATGTCCCCAGAGGCCAAAAACACCATTCGTTCAAATTTTTATATATGTATATATATATATATATATATAGATATATATAGATATATATATATTCAGGGTGTTTTTTTAAAAACTTGCATCTTTATTTATGTAAAAACCGCAATAGATACAAATATGCAGTTTGCGGGAATCATCTATTGACGTAGGGGGAACAATTGTTTTGAATTCAACGTTACATTCACATTCCCCCCCTTTCCCCCCCTGCCCCCAACTTATTTTTTTTAAATAGCAAGGTACCCCTTGTGACATATCAAATAAAAGAGCATAAAAAAAGAAAATGTTTGATGAAAAAAAATTGAAAATCGGTTCATAAATTTGTGAGATATTCCCCCCCTCACCCCCCCGGAACTTATTTTTTTTTAATATTAAAGTACCCCTTGTGACATATCAAATGAAAGAGCATGAAAAAAGAAAATTTTTGGTGAAAAAAAATTTAAAATCGGCTCATGAATTTGTGAGATAATCACCCCCCTTTTCCCCTACCCATAACTTGTTTTTTAATAGCAAGGTACCCGCCCTTGTGACATATCAAATGAAAAATAAATTTCACCAAAATTTTTCTTTTTTCATGCTCTTTCATTTGATATGTCACAAGGGGTACTTTGCTATTAAAAAAAAATAAGTTCCGGGGGGGTGAGGGGGGGAATATCTCACAAATTTATGAACCGATTTTCAATTTTTTTTCATCAAACATTTTCTTTTTTCATGCTCTTTTATTTAATATGTCACAAGGGGTGCCTTGCTATTTAAAAAAAATAAGTTGGGGGCAGGGGGGGAAAGGGGGGGAATGTGAATGTAACGTTGAATTCAAAACAATTGGTCCCCCTACGTCAATAGATGATTCCCGCAAACTGCATATTTCTATCTATTGCGGTTTTTACATAAATAAAGATGCAAGTTTTTAAAAAAACACCCTGTATAGATTTATATATATATGTGTCCGTGAACGCGATAACTTGAGTAATTTTTGTCCGATTTTGATGAAATTTGGTTTAAAGGTGTAAGGCGGGATAAACTTGAATGAGTTCGCAAACCAGCATGATCGGACCATGGGAACGGGGCTTTGCGGGGGCTTTTATGGGGTAAAAATAGGTTTTTCTCACTTTTGACCCTCAAAACACAAAATTTCCCAATTTCTCTTTAGACCTTTTTAAAGAGCTTAAAAAAACAAATAATTTAGTATATAAAAGTACTTTTGTACGGTTATTGGTAACGGAGAAAATTAAAAAAGTTGTAAATTTAAAATTCCCATGTTATTCTTATGGAGAATATTGTAAAATGTTGCAGTTTGCTTGTTTATGGATATATTTTGATCAAACTTGGCAAATTTATTTATTTTATACTAAACTATTAATATTTTACCAAAAAACACACTTTATTAGTTTCCTTGTAGCGGCAAACCTAAGAACACGTTAAAACTAGCCTAATGTTTTTTTAAATATATTTAGGCCTAATTGAAATTCAATTCAGACATATGGAAATTAGCTTAGTCGGCAGGTTTGCTGCGGCGGGGGTATTGTTTAAACTATGGTCGTCTTACTATCTAATGTCGTCCTTCCTTTGTCACTAATTGTAAGCCTAAAGACAAAATGACATCTTGGACCGACATAATTTCCGATCAGGATGCGGCCATTTGACTTCAAATTTGACACTAGCACTAAATAACCGTTAATAATTAATCGCTCGAACAGAAAATAATCGTGATCTTTATGTGAATTGGTGCATTGCCGTTGATAAATAAATTTTTAAGCTGTGCTGAGTACAAAACACGCGATTAAAGTCGTAAGTACAAATGATAAAGTTGCTCCAGTGGTTATTCCATGTTAACTACCTTAACTACCGCCTAGGCTACTTGTACAATACAACTCTCTGTTCATGAGTTCATGTTCAAGAAGGTTGGTCATCTTCTCAACCGTGAACCACGCAATTCTTCACCTTGAAATTTGCATTTCAATAAGTTTATCCCTGTTTATATAAGTTAATGTTTATAGCCTATGTTTTAATTGTTAAATAATAATAACTAGAGGTCGTCCAGTGGTCGAAAACTCGACCAAAAATATGTAGGCCTACAGTTGGATTTTTAGCTAGAAGTGGTTGAGGTTATCCTTAACATAAAAAGTGTCTTCGTTTTCTTTATTAGTTTGTTAATCAATTGTGCAATCTATGAAGAAAAATGTTGTTCATCACACGGGCAAAAAGGGTCTTTTCAACCCTCGTTCATTTTCCGACCTCGACTTCGCCTGTACCGTAAAACGTCAGCTCGGGTAGAAAAACGTCGTTAACGTCCTAATGATGAAAAATATACTATTTCGAGTGAAGCTCAAGTAGTTTTAAACCAGGTGTTTCAGTAAATTTTCTGAATATACCTTGTGGTTGTGTAGGCCTAACTATTTTATACAATAGATGTAAAGAACTAATTCTTCTCTTTCACGTCCTCTTCCCGTTTCAAAGCACGGGCACAGCAATATCTTAGAAGATAAAACATACTCCCTTGGTAGATTTCTCATCTTTATGGAATAGCTGAAGCCAATTTTATTGTTAGTTCTGTCCGGTACACTGTAGAGGTCGTGTTTTGTTTACAATTTGTTTACACTATGTACTATGTATGTATGGACTAGCTATATCCACGGGCTTTGTCCCGTTTAACTTCATATGTGAGCTCGTTCGCATGGCTCAATCACGTCCTGGTTGAAGTTCGTTCGCTACGCTCACTCACCTTTAGGTTGGAGCACGTTCGGTGCGCTCACACGTCCTGGTTGAAGTTCGTTCGCTACGCTCACTCACCTTTAAGTTGGGGCTCGTTCGCTTTGCTCACTTGCCTTTTGGTTTAAAATTAGCTGTTGTCAAATATTAAAAAAAATAATAGTGCTGCACTCTGTTGGTAATCCTTGTAACTTTAACGCTATTGAACATCATAGAACAGAATCAACTTGTTTAATTGAAACAGCTGTTAAGATTCATTTATTCCATTTAAATATGAGTACTCATTAGGTTAACATGGGAAACTCCAGAGCCACTGGGGCGGAGCCCGAGAGTCCGATCAGAATAAAAACCACTTAGTTTTCCTAATTAATGCCTAAAGAATCAGTGTACCAAATTTCAGCCTCCTAGGTAAATGGGAAGTGGGAGAATTAGTGATGAGTGAGTGAGTCAGTCAGTCAGTCAGTCAGTGAGGGCTTTGCCTTTTATATATATAGATTAAGGCAAGGGCCACGACAAATAATACCTGTCGTGGTTTACAGAATGGGATGAGAGTCTACCTGTGGCTGGTTAGTCTATGGTAATATCGGGCGGGAAGAGACTCGGGTGAAAAGTGACATAACCATTAACAGCAGCGGCTCATTGTGTCATAGTCAAATATACAATTTAACTACATTGGTGATAATGAAACTGGTAACAAGTTGAACGTGGAAACTGAAAGTTTACTTTGCACCTCTTGTATTTTTCATAGTAAAAGAGTCCAGTGCTAATAATGCTTAACATTTTTATTCTGTTTCAGATACAGGGGGAGATAGCTTTGAAATACGATTGAATGAAACTCATCTACAAAGCTGGTTGAAACTCAAAACTTTATTTATTGTAATTAAATTTTTTGTAACAACTTTTGAGTTTGGCAGCATTTGTTTCTACCTTCCAGAATTGTATTTAGTTTGTAATAACTCGAGTACCTTTTACCTGTCATTTTCTCGTAAGAAATTTTTTTTTTTTAGGTGAACATAAAATTCAATAGTTTGATGATTTATTCATTTCCTAGCCGACCCATGCAATGCATTCGCAGTTAATTCTTCTCAAATCATTCTTAAATTGTTTTTACATAGACATAGTTTTCACATAGCGCACCCTTGACAAAGTCACAAAAACTGAATGTGTAAAAAATGGGTCTAGCACGTCAATTCTTCCTTTGTTAGCGTGGGTCCATATGCCTTGTATAAAGTCATGGCAAAGGTTCAAGGGAAATTCCTACTTAGTCAGATTAAAAGGATTACGGACTATTGTGTAGTATGACAGTTTGACCACAGCACAGAACACTAAATAAGAAGCGCACTTCTCATTTAGTCCACAGAGCACTTTTTATTTAATGCTCTGTGGACCGGAGACGGCCAACTTCTGCTTTTATAGCGTACCTAGCTAAGTGAGCTACAATCCATTTTGGATCGTGCTTAGTTTTTCATCAACATGATAATAGAGTTCTTTTTAGCATGTGTTTAGGAGATAATGAACCTAAAGGGCTTAATGTGTTTAAAAAAATCTCCAATGGATACAACAGAGCGTTCTACGTCCTTTGGTAAAGAACCGAATCAAAACTGATATAAACCGTTTCCTGTCAGTACCGGTAACAAATTTGACACAACATAACCATTCATTGAAACCTGAAGTAAAGGAAAGATAAGAGGTGATATTTGATTATGGAATTCTTATACATTGCAGTACGTTGGTAAGGCTACGTCAAAATGAAGGCAATGTCGTAAATAAATAAATATAAAAGCTAAAGAATCCATGTGGTACTTACTTCTAAGTTGTTCTAATGTTAATTGACTTCTTTCAAGTAAATAATCAGATTAGAAGTACATATTTGGTAGAAAGCACAGGCTAAGTATAAGGTTTTTTGTCTTTTTTGTGTTTTTTTTTTTTTTTTTTTTTTGTAAGTGTATGGTTTATGGGGATGTGACTTGTAGTCTTCTCAAAAGTTCATGGGTACTTTGGGATTTATATATGGATATAGATTATGGTGCCTATGTTGTTCAAAAAATAAGACAAGTAACAACTATTTAAAAAATTTCACCCTCACACTTTACAGGCATTTCTAGGTGCAGTAATACTATATAACATACTACATAGATCATCTGCAGCCAGTGCAATGAGACACGAAGTGTGCTTCTGTCAGCATTTCATTTCTACCGTAGTTTTAAGTAACGCTGTAACTGGTGAGACATAAAAGATGCTATAGTATACAGTAAGTTTTCCTTTTAAATTTTCTTACGTAAAAAGTCAGTGGATTTGACTAAAATGAGTATTATACATCAGCAAGCTCTCTAACAGCTTTAACATGGGAATGAGAGGTTTATCCCCATAGTAAAAAACTGCACTAGTCTTGAGATGTACAAGAGTAGGGCTACTTATGTATTATTCACATGAAAAATAGAATGTACCAAGTAGCCTACACTTAATAGAAATTATTTTGAAACGGTCCTTCTAAAATAATGTTTCTACACGTCTGGGGATCCAACTGAGGTACAGGAAGTCAGATAACATCTGTATCTGCCCAGGAATGTTTTGCATTCATACAGCAATACAGTACAAGGCTGGTGACATCAGTTGGCCCAACTCCTTCCCATTCATAAACCTATCTCAACTATTCATTTATTTATTTGAACATTGGAAGAAACGCCGAAGGAATTATAAGATGTTCTACCAGGTGTTTCTTCTGTGCAGTCAGCATGTAGGATGAATATCATATGACTTTGGTTAGCAGAATGCCAGGGTAGGTATTCTATTATGGACCAGCTGTAAATATTAATCTGTGGTCAGTTTGTGTTCAAATAGAACTTAGCTAAAGTGCTGTCCAGCGGTTGTGTTACTGAACAAATTCTATTTTTACTCTTGGTTTTCACACTGTTAATTGATGAGACATAAAAGATGCTATCCACAATCAATATATTCAATGTATAAAGGCAGATTCTATTCTACAAAACACTAGTCTACTTCTTTACATCTTAAATGAATTGATAAAAAGTTATGTTTGTGTAATTACGATTTTTTCAACTCAAGAAATCTAAGTCATTAGTCCAAGAAATGAAATGGAAGAAGAAATACCTCTCCCCGTGACTCCGCTGCCTGCCTGTGTATTTAAGCTGCAGGTCTTTAAATCGTCAAGACAACACTTTATCTAGTAGTCTCAGTTACTAAACGATCACAACATTTTAAATCATGCGTTTTAGATCAATATGGGCTAGGGGGGCTAGCCCTATAAGACCCCTTGTTATCCAATTTTTTTCAAATTTTACAGTTATAACATAAAAGCTAATAATTCACGAATATGTCTGAAGAGTTAAGGTAAGAAATGTGTAAAATCAAACATTTTGAACATTAATTTAAACTATTAAACTCGGACCCTCTCTTTACCGGGAGCTAGTGTGTTCCAACCAGACCGGGGCCCTCTTAGGAGGTTAGCCTTATGGAAAAGTTAGATGAACGCCATGTTTAAAATGTACCATTAAAAAAATTAATTTTTAATAGTTTTGTTTAGTTAAGCATCCATGGTACAACTCTACAAAATTATTTTATCCAGGGCCAATCTTCATCATGTAATCACTATTAACGAGTTCTTCCCACCTGAAGACTGGATCAGATTCCAGATCAAGAAATGTTGTGAAACTTGTGTTCAACCTACCAATGATAGATAGTACATATCTGCGATTATCAATTAAATAATTAATATAAACTTACCATCACAACAATAAACTTTAAACATTAAATCTTACATATCTGCGAGGTTCTACTAAAAAAGGTACTAACAATCTGGGTACACCATGTAAAATTGTATAGAAAATTTTTTTATTAGGACAATTACAGCGCAAGGAAAGGAAAATAGCTTGTAAAAAATAACAAAGTTGTATAAAGATTATAAATGTTTGTGATGTTGATATTCAATCACTGATATTGTCAATTTAATTATCTCTCCTAACCTACTTAACTATTTGATAGTAGTAAATTTGTTACAGTACATTGTCCAAAAAATCCTAAGAAAGGCTTAGATACAGTTTGGTATATTTGTTTTTAAGAACAGTAAGGTTTTACATTTGATTTTAAAATTAACTATCTAATTTTTCAGTTATAAAATTCTGGTTTAAGTTTTATATATTGAAATTGTTGTATATAAATTGTTGTTGAATAAGTTTATATTTTATGTTTTATGTTGTTGCAATAGAAGTTGCAAGCACGTAATAATTGACTGAGTTTCTCATAAAAAGAAGCTGTTAACAACTTTAAGAACATTAACTTGTGATAAACATTTTTTAGTTTAGTCGACATTTCTAATCCTATTAAAATATCGGCCTCAGTGAAATATCAATATCGTGTAATAAGCAGAATAAAAGAATCAGGACTGCATATAGTCCTTAGGCTTTGAGAGTTTAAAGATCTTCAAAAAATAAAATCCAAAGCAAAAAAGAACATGAACAACAGTAAATTTCATACAAATTATCTAAAATAACAAATATAACATAAACGTTGTAGTCTAAAATGCCCTTTAACAATCAATTTAGCTGACATAAACTAAACAATAAAAACAGTAAAACTTGTAAAAGAACACAAATGTTCGACATAAATAATCACTATTTACTTGTTTAACATGCACTAAATTAGGACAAAACTCAAACCTAAAAATATTCATTTAACAAATATAAAATTAACTTATCAAAAGACACAGCCCAGAACATTGGACGATACTTAACATCTCAGTGATGTTAGATCAGCTCATAGATTCCATGGTGCAATAATCAACCTAATGTATTTACATGTTTTATTATACAAATCTAGTCACTAAATACTGTCTAAATTTAGTTTTCATTTTATTTTAAAAGTTTTAACAATTGCATAAAGAAGAGTCCTGCTAGTATGAACATGTAGGTAAGTGGAATGTGTAGATGGCCTCTAGGTTTCCCAATGTTTTTCCCAATGTTTTTCCCAATGTTTTTTCTCTATAATCTGATGTTAGAATGCAAGGCTTGAAGTCATCTTACAAGGGTCAGTCTTACTTATGTGCACCAGATGGGTTATAGTAGAGTATTGTTGCTGCCATCTATGTTCATGTCAATGTAATGCCACAAAAAAAAAAAAATTGGAAAAATGACTTAGCCAAAAAGGTTCAGGCCTCACAAGTTCTGATTAGCAAGACTCCGCTGTATTTTAAATATCATACAAGCAGATGTATTGTGAATGACACATAACGTGAATTCTATAGCTTAATTGAACTTATATTATAATTTAGCTAAAAATATATCTTTGAAAATGTGATGTCTATAAAGTCTTCTAGGTGAGTTTGGTTATTCAGTATAAGAAACTTTTCTACTAATTTATAAAACCAAGGTACCATGGTATAGGTATGGTACAAACCAACGTGGTTAGCAATTATTTACCTATGATAATATCTTATAGCCCTTAAAAGATCTACTGTAAAAACATGTAACAAACACACTAAAAATGTTCTTTTTGTTTCCATAGTTGAGATTCTATAAGAATACTTTATCTACAAATAAATTACAATCATTTAGGCCTTAAACTTTGTACAAATCTACAAAAAACATTAAATCTACTAAAATATATATATATGTAGAAAATTTACATATTTTACTAGAATTATTTCAACAATTTGTCTACAAAATTTGCCTTTAATGCACCATATTCCTCCAGATTTAAAGCCACAACATTCATAAATATCTAATTCCATCTGTTCAATGCTTGACAGATTCAACAACATAAGTAACATTTTATGTAAGAAAATTGCTCGGTAAATAAAAAATACAGTCTTATACTTAAATCTATGCTTGGTTTTTATGCCATATAGTTTGTACTCTCATGTTTAAAAACATTAACACAGTTTTGGGATGTTGACATCTGTTAAACATTAGTCAAACATTATTAAAAAATGCTATGTTTTATAAAAGTATAAAAATATTTGTATCAAATCAGTAATTTCTCAGTACTAGATGTAAAAATACTTGACTCAAAGGCCATCATGATAATAGGGGTTTTTAAGCCTTTTCTCAGGCAACAATAATATCATAAAAGAGTAAAAATTGTATAGGCCTATTTATTCATAGTTTATTTAGTACATTTCATCACTATGATGCTAAGTGACTCTTCCCGACACAAGCACAAGTTTAACCCTCGGAAAATGAAAGATGGTTGAAAAGACACTTTTAGTTTGTGTGGTGAACTATATTTTACGTCATACTGCACCATTATTTAAGCAAACTAATTTACAAAAACAAAATAATTTGTATATAAAGATATGCTCCCAATGTGACTTGTATCTTGTTTTCAATTTTGCTATTGTTAACAAGCTGCTGTTTAGTAAGGTATTGTATCCTTTTGTATATTGTGATTGTGTTTGTATCCATTATACTATCAATTATCAATATGTCAAACTATTAATGTATCAATATTTTTCTTGAATTTCTTGGGATTTCAGAGAAATAAACTGTTTTCTCGAGTCATCCATTCTTAGATTCAATGTAAACAGCTTTGAACTCAGTCGACAATAACACAGAATGAACCACAATCTATTGAAATCCAGAATTACAACTGATACTTTTGATACAAAGGTAACGAGTGAGCAAAATGTACTGCTAATGACTCAAGCAGAGTTTTTCTCCTAGGGAGAAAAAGAGCTACCTAGTTTAGACCCTCAATGCCTGTATTGGAAAACAGCTGTTTATGCTGCAGTATGACGAGTAATATGTCAAACTATTGATATATCAATATTTTTCTTGAATTTCTTGGGATTTCAGAGAAATAAACTGTTTTCTCGAGTCATCCATTCTTAGATTCAATGTAAACAGCTTTGAACTCAGTCGACAATAACACAGAATGAACCACAATCTATTGAAATCCAGAATTACAACTGATACTTTTGATACAAAGGTAACGAGTGAGCAAAATGTACTGCTAATGACTCAAGCAGAGTTTTTCTCCTAGGGAGAAAAAGAGCTACCTAGTTTAGACCCTCAATGCCTGTATTGGAAAACAGCTGTTTATGCTGCAGTATGACGAGTAATAAATCCACCTACTGATGTGCAGGGGCAATCCTTTTGGAAAGAATAAATTGTTCAGGTTTTTAATAATTTTAATTGTATTTTGGTAATAACCACACTTGTTAATGATTTTAACCTTGTTTTAACCTTGCATATAAAGTGGTGTGTTTATAGTTAAATACAGCTATATAAGTCCCTAATTGGGCGGTTTTGACACATTTATAAAATGGCTATAACCTAAATAACTAATATCAAGTCCTTTCATTACCTTAGTTTATCATTTAGAATTAATTGTTACAGTTTATTTTAGAAAAGTTAACTGTCAAACTGGTAAAACACAATGAGGTAAATGCTTAAAATAAAAGCACACTTGGCTAAAACAGAAAACTGTTCTTCCATAAAGCGTTTCAAACAACTTTTCACTAACATCTTGAAATCTAATTTAATAAGATAAAATATATCATGTTTAATAATTTTAAACACTCATTGCTAAAAATCTATCATTAAAAATTAAAGAAATTACATTCTTTATCATTAAAATGTATCAACACTAGTTTTTAAAACTTGGTGAATAATTTTTTGCAAAAAACGTATAAAAATAAAATATACATCAAATACAAAAAAGCCTAGTTCCTCAAGAAACTATTCCTCAATTCATTTTGAATTAATCAACTTATAATGTAAACTTTACAAGTTTTCCTTAAAGCCTTTGTTAAAAGATTAAAGTCCGCAGTTCACTGATGACTGGAGACTCCTGAAGGTTGAAGGTTGAGATGACCCTTGAACCCTCCTAAGAGGAATGGGGCTGCAGAGTAATGGTGGGTAGTGAGGGAGGAACTATGATGCCCTAGGGTTGTGAGGTAGCATGGCACTCTCCCTGAACTTGGTAACTGATGTCCCTAGGGACTTGATGCTTCTGGAAGAAACAATTAAGGCATCAGAAGTAAATATCAAAAGTCGGTAAATATCAAAAGTCGGTAAATATCAAAAGAAATACATGCTACATCTAACATTGCCATATGTAGCAATGATATACATATATTTTTCGTCTAGCATCTGCTATATGTAGCATTTAATGCACACAGTTCACAGTTGTAGCCTCCTGGTTGCGAACGGTTTTGCTCAGCAATCTTTGTTTATAATGGAAGGACTGGAAACAGAAAGTGACAGTGCCTAGGATCGGGATGATATTATAAGCTTAATTGAACTGTCCTGTGGACAACCGGCGTTGTGATCATACGTAAAACGTTTTTGAAGCTACCGTCGCCTTATTTAGCGTTTTAATTATGGATTGTCAGCGTATTCATCATCATTAAGGTCCCGTAATAAATCTGCTATACTGTACTTATTTCTCGAAGCAAAAAGCGGTCAAATCTAAAACTTGCTAAAATCTTCGCTCCTGTCTGACTTCCAAGATCACCACGATAGCTGCCACGAACAATGTCTCTTCAGCGCACATTTCGATACGGAATGCGAATGAGGTTGTGCTACATATAACATATAGCACGAGCACCAGAATCACTAAAATTGTTTGTAATTTTTTCATACAGCAAAAGTTATCAAGCAATGTTATATAGCAAAAGTTATATAGCAGGTTTTGCTACATAGTGTAAATCCGGCTTTAAACTAAAGCTATGGACGCACCATAGATTAGCTATTAAGCATCAGCGCTCATGTTGACGTATATTTTGAGTTATGCACAAACTGCCTCCCTGTACATTACTTACGTGAGTTAAATTTGTTTTTTTCGAGTTCGTTTGGCTGAACGGATGGGCGGTTCGGTATAAGTACCGAACCGATTTTCATAATTTTGGTCTCAAAGCTATGCAAGCACATATTTGCCATCATTAATCTATCAAATCAGTTGTACAAAGATTTTTTAAACTGAATTACTAAATTTAATTGAAAATCAATTAAGACAAATGAAAATTCGTTTAGTCTGCAGGTTTGCTGCAGCGGGGGTATTTTGTACTACGATCGTATTTCTAAATAGTGCTTATAACCACTATTATAACATTTTTCAGCATTAAATTTCCTATAATTTGATACCCAAAAAGTTATTTTTACAAATATTAAAATTTTAAAACTTTTTTCAAGATGGCGGCCAAAAAACATATATTGCGCCACAGTACGGATGTATATTTTTAGTATGTTGATTAGATGCATACTACCTACCATTCACAGCAAAAATCATTTGTGTTGCAATTAGATCCACCTTAAGCTATATTTTTAATTATTTCTACTGCACTATTAAAGCTGCTGTGTAGTCAGGGTCATTGCAATAACACGATTGCAATAATTTCAAAATTGTTAAATTTATCATTTCTACATTTGCTTGTTTCCGATTTTGTCTTTTACGTTATAGATTTGAGTTCTTCATCCTGAGCCGTTGTCTGCTTCTCCATTGTCAAAACCTATTCATGGGTTTAAGTTCCTTTGTCTTAAATTGAACGAGGTGGTGGTTTTACTTTTGAACCATTATCATAAAGGCGTAGAAAAATTATGAACAGTAAGTAGATATGATATAAGTTAAGATAAAGTGTTACACGTCTGTATACTGAGCCCCAGGTCTCTGTTTAAATTGCCCTCATAGTGTGAAGGTTGGCAGAGAGATGCAGGTGTGAGAAGTTGACAAACTGTGAGGTATGCTGTGTGCCAAAACAATTTCCTGTGGTTGGATAATGCCAGGTGCCTCTTTATTCCAGGTATACGGTACAGAGAAAAGGGTTTGCTTTCCTGCACTGATGTAAAGTAACGCCACACCGAGATAGTAAGAGATATTACACAATACTGGACCATTCACAGAGAGAGGGTCGTAGAACATGGATGGTGGCCATTTCAATGAAAAGTATTAAAAGTATTAACAAAAAATATTGTTTACACTGCTTGCCTAAGAATCAGAAGGTGATTCAAAATTCATTATTCTTTCACTCACTCTGCATTCATATTCAGCTTTAAATAATTAACAAGTAAAAACTGTTACTGTCTGATAAAATAGAATGATCAATTAAAACTTACTAATCAAACGCTCGTTTCCGATCTTGACTTCCCCGTCATAGGGTTGAGTTCTTCATCCTGAGCAGTCGTCTGCTCGTCTACGAAGTTGATGCTGCCAGCTTTGTACCAGACGATGATGTCAACAAAGAACGCACACAACATTAGAGCCCCAGTTGTACCTGTGTGAAAAATATTTTCAATTAATTGTTTTCTGGAAAGCACACTATATAATCGCTTTTAGCGAATTTCCCATAAAGGGAATAAGCTATTACCATAGATGAAGTAATATAAACGTAATCCACGTATATTATAAGTCATTAGTTTTCATTCACATTCAAAACCACCGCAATAGTTTCTTTATTGCAATCCATTCATCACAATTTCATTTATAAAGTCAAATAATAACATTTATAAAATTTAATGCGTAATAAATGAATAGTTTATTTTAAATGTTAGTTTTATTATACCAAAACATTAGCGCACACTTACGGTCTACGAGCCGAGCGCATCGTTGCTGTAGACGTCAACAACGTACTGTGTATTGCATAACTGCATTACCGACGCGAAGACTACGCTAGCGCACTCTGAACTCGGGCCGCCCAACTAACTCGGGCAGCCCGAATAAATATCCCACGAAGTTTAGGCCGCCCCTGCTCTTCTCTGGTGTTTATTTATTCTATGCTATTACCATTGTTCTCATGGTAAGAACTGGATCAGGGACCGATAGATATTAATTTTTTTAAAGAACCCAGAGATAAAAAACACCATTCATTTAAATTTATTTATCTATATGTTAATAGGCAAGCATGTTTCTTTAAAACTTTTTTTCTCAGCTCGTGTGCATCGTAGGGAAAATCTATGGCTAATGTTAGAAAGATACTTTCATTTTCCTGTAGGTGTGCGGAATCCCTTTATAAATTAAAATAGGCTCACAAATAAGCACAACAAATGAATTAAATTTATTTGACATGGGCCTTATGGGTTGCCATGCTGGTGACAAAATAACAACAAAACATAAACGGAAAATCAAAACAAATGGAAGAAATTTCAATCACATCTTTTATTTACAGTGTGGGGTGAAAATTGAGAAGTCTGTACATTACACATTTTTGGTTGAGTTTTCGACCACTGGACCTCTAGTGTATATAAATATATGTGTCCGTTAGCAACAAAAGAAATCTTAGAGAAAGCTGAACAGGACAGGACAGCAAACAACAGTAGAGACTTCTACCGATCAATAAGTTTTTTTAGAAAGGGATACAGTCCAATGCCATATGGGATTAAAAACAAATTAGGACAACCGGTGGTACAGATCAAGGAAGGACTACAAGTATGGCAGGAACAGTTCAAAGATCTTTTGAATGTAAGACAGTCTGAACAAGAAGAAGAATAGGAGGAAGTGTACCAGAATGTAGATCCAATTGTAACATACCCAACAATTTAAGAAGTAGAAACGTCAATCAAGGAATTAAAAAACAATAAAGCCCCAGGGGAGGACTCTATTCCATCGCAAGTAATCAAAGCAGGAGGCACAGAACTGGCAAGGGAGATCCACAAACTGATCATTGATATTTGGGACAACGAATTGATTCCAAATGAGTGGAAGGAAGCAGTCATCATTCCTATTCACAAGAAAGGAGACAAAAAGGACTTCACCAACTACAGAGGCATTTCCCTCCTCAACGGCACCTACAAAGTACTGTAAAAGATTTTACAAAAAAGACTAGAGGAATATACATCAAATATCATAGGAGACCATCAAGCTGGCTTTACGAGAGGAAGATCAACCACTGACCAAATGTTTATACTGAAAGAGGCAATTGCCAAATATTATGAATTCAATAAATCCTTTCTCTTCCTTTTCATTGACTTCTCCAAAGCATACAACTCGATCACTAGGAGAAAACTCTGGAAAGTAATGGTAAAGTATGGAATATTCAAAAAGTTAATAAGCCTATCAAAATCAACTGTATCAGGATCTAAGGTTAAAGTCAATGGAGAAGTCTCAGAGAATTTTGATACAGGTGTAAGACAAGGAGATGGTTTGTCCCCATTGCTATTCAACATAGCTTTGGAAGATTCTCTACAAGAAATACAAAAACTAGAAGCTGGAATTACTATGGGACACAAATTTTATAAAGTAAACAACTTCTCTTACCTAGGAGTAATAGTCCAGGACCTGACTAGGGTTCTGTGTGCATGTCGTGTATAGAGAATTTTGCTTTTGCATTTCAATATAGGTGTCTTAGGAAGTGTTTTCCACTCGGGTGTCAAGTTCGCACCTGGTACGTTTTCGAGCTATGACGTCATAAAGATGGCGGCTCGGCAATTTTTAAATGCGTATATTTCGCAAACCGTTTAACGGATCGGTATGATTCTTTTTTTGTTTGAAAGATATTTTTACAAACTATCTTTTTTGTATTTACACATTTGTTGTAAACTTAATATTCACCGCACAATATTGAAAAACGTCGTTTTTATTGTTATTATATTTATTGTTTTGCTTATAATTTCTTAACCACTGATAAAATCAAATACCACCCGTGGCAAAAGTTTCAGATAATTCTATACCCTTTCCAATGATACCAAACAATATGTGATTGGACCTAAAAATAAAGCAAAGAGATTGAATAAACCGTAAAAAAACACTGAAAGTGGTGTACGGTCCGGGAAAGATTTAGTCCTGGACATGACTAGGGTTCTGTGTGCATGTCGTGTATAGAGAATTTTGCTTTTGCATTTCAATATAGGTGTCTTAGGAAGTGTTTTCCACTCGGGTGTCAAGTCCGCGCCTGTTTCGTTTTCGAGCTATGACGTCATCAAAATGGCGGCTTGGGCAATTTTTAAATGCGTATATTTCGCATACCGTTTAACGGATCGGGGTGATTCTTTTTTTGTTTGAAAGATAATTTTACAGGAAATGTTTTTTGTATTTACACTTTTGTTGTCAACTTAATATTTATCTCACAATATTAAAAAACGTGGTTTTTAATGTCATTGTTTTTGAAATTTACCTCATAACTTGTTAAACGCTTATAGAATGAAATAACTACCCATTACAAAAGTTGTAGATAATTTTATGCCCTTTCCAACGATACCAAACAATTAATGTTTGAAACTAAAATTAAAGCCAAGAGATTAAATAAACCGTTAACAAACACTTAACATGTCAGAAAGTCCGGAAAATATTGCGGCTGGAACAATTCTTTAAATGCGTATATTTCGCATATTGTTTAAAGAACCGGGATGATTCTTTTTTTGTTTGTAAGATGTTTTTTAAGCCTATCATTTTTGTATTTACACCTTTGTTGTTAACCTACTATTTGTCAAAAAGTTATTAGCAAAAGTAAAATAAAAATAACAATTAAATGTACATTTATTAATATTGTGGGATAATATTAATTATTAATATAAATATAATAACAATAAAAACGACGTTTTTCAATATTGTGCGGTGAATATTAAGTTTACAACAAATGTGTAAATACAAAAAAGATAGTTTGTAAAAATATCTTTCAAACAAAAAAAGAATCATACCGATCCGTTAAACGGTTTGCGAAATATACGCATTTAAAAATTGCCGAGCCGCCATCTTTATGACGTCATAGCTCGAAAACGTACCAGGTGCGAACTTGACACCCGAGTGGAAAACACTTCCTAAGACACCTATATTGAAATGCAAAAGCAAAATTCTCTATACACGACATGCACACAGAACCCTAGTCAGGTCCTGGACTATAATGCTGACGAACAATAATCAAGAAGACTTTGAAATTCAACAAAGATTAAATGCAGCACATAAAAGTTTATCGGCATGCCACAAATATTGTTAAGTTCTCGCCTACTTTCACATATAACTAAAATCTGTATATAAAAAACCATAATAAGATCAGTCTTACTATATGGCTCAAAGAATTGGGTGCTAAACAAGAGAACAGAAAAACTACTTATGGTGTTCGAAAACAAGATTCTAAAAAAATCTTTGGACCAACCTTTAAAAATAAAGAATGAAGAGTAAAGCACAACAGGGTTTTGAAAGAGTTGTACAGGGATCTGGATATTGTGGCTGAGGTGAGAAGTAGAAGATTGAGGTGGGCGGGCCATGTGTTAAGAATGGAAGAGGGCTCCTTAGTGAAAAGCACCCTAACCAACAACCCTGAGGGTAGAAGACCTCCTGGAAGGCCCAAGTTGAGGTGTAGAGATCAAGTGAAAAGAGATCTTAAAAGAATGGGAAGAAGAGAGGAGGAAGCAATGGATCGTGGAATCTGGAGGCAGTGTGTTGGCGAGGCAAAGTAACTCCTTGGGTACCAGGAGCCACGGCAGTAAGTAAGTATATATGTGTCCGTTAGCCTGATAAGTCAAGCAAAAATAATCCAATTTTGATTAAATTTGGTAAAACTTTTGAACTAACATTTATTTGAATGAGTTCCCGAACCAGCATGATCGGACTATGGAAACAGAATTTTATGGGGTAAAAATTGGTTTTTCCCATTTTTGACCCTAATATCATAAAATTTTGCAATTTATTTCCAAACTGTTGCATAGGGTTTTCAAAAAGGAACAATTTAGTACATTGAAGCATTGTTGTATGCCTAACAATAACGGAGAAGATTCCAAAAAGGTGTAAATTTAAAATTCCCATGCTATTTTTATGGAGAAAAAATAAACTGTTTTCTTGTTTATGGATAAAGTTTAGTGAAATTTGGTAAATTTGATTTATTTCATACTAAACTTTTCAGCTATCAATTTAATTTTCTATATCATTAAAAATTAATCCCTTTTTTGATGGTATTTATAACTCGAGAACGAGAGCACAGAATTGGATGATTCTTTTTTCGTTGTGTTCCTTAGTGCCAGGAGAAGGTTTTATGTAAGGAAATTTATAATCCATCCAACCCTTATTTAGTAATTTAAAAAATTTAAAAAATTGCCTTTACATTAGCATTGGAGGAAAATGTTTTGATTAAACTGTAGTATACAATAACATGTGTTAAAAAAAAAGTTTTAAAATTTCAACCAAATGTGACTGAGCCATGTTGAAAGAACTTTAACATGGAGGCGAGTGAGCACAACGAACGAGCTCCAACCAAAAGGTGAGTGAGCGTAGCAAACGAACTTCAATCAAGACGTTATTGAGTCCTGACGTCCTGGTTGAAGTTCGTTCGCTACGCTCACTCACTTTTTTTTAGGTTAGAGCTCGTTCGCTGCGCTCACTTGCCTTCAGGTTAGCTCGTTCGCTACGCTAACTCGCCTCCAGGTTGAAGTTCGTTCGCTACGCTCACTCACCTTTTGGTTGCAAATTAGCTGTTGTCATAAATGTAAAAGAAATAATAGTGCTGCACCCTGTTGGTAATCCTTGTAACTTTAATGCTATTGAACATCATAGAACAGGACCAACTTGTTTAATTGAAACAGCTGTTAAGATTCATTAATCTATATCTATAAAAGAGGAACTATGTATGTATGTATGTGTGTGTGTGTGTGTGTATATACGTTATGGACTCCGAAACCGCTCGACAGATTGTAATGAAACTTTCAGGCATTATTAAGCATCTTTCAAGGATGGTTCGAGTGAAGTTTGGTGCAGATCCGTCAAAAGGGCTCTGCCCCAGAGGGTTTTAAGTGGGCCAATGTCAGACTTTTTGATCTACAATGTTTACAAATAAATATAATTTAAAAGCAGATGTTTACTTTCACCAACTGTTTTGTAGGTTTGAATAATCACAACATTCTGTATTAGCATTAGTCATGATTTGAAATAGTGGCACAGTGTTACTACAGAGTGCAGCACAGAGAACTATTTTACTTTTTAATAAGTCCAAATGTATTAAACCCCAATCGCAGCACACCTGTGCAGTCAACAACGTTTAAATTCTCCAATGTTAAATATTAAAACATAAAAACCTTTAGCAAACAATTAATGACAACTGCTAATTTGCAACCAAAAGGTGAGTGAGCGTAGCGAACGAACATCAACCTGGAGGCGAGTAAGCGTAGCGAACGAGCTAACCTGAAAACATGTGAGCGCAGCGAACGATTTCCAACCTGAAGGTGAGTGAGCGTAGCGAACGAACTTCAACCAGGACGTGATTGAGCCATGCGAATACTTATGAAGTTAAGCGGGGCAAAGCCCGCGGGTACAGCTAGTTCCATTTAAATATGAATACTCATAAGGTTAACATGGGAAACTCCAGAGCCACTGGGGCAGAGCCCAGAGGTCGGAGGGTAAAATTCTTTCTTAGTGAGCGTCTACTACCCAACAGGAAGATGCCTGCCAAGTTTCAGGTTCCTAGGTCTTAAGGTTTCTGAGATTTTGTGATGAGTGAATCAGTGGTATTTGAGCTTTATATAGATAACAATGGCACTCCAAGATATAGATCCAAGACTCCAAGACATAAGAAATCTCTAATACAGTTTAGATTTGTTGAACAGCCTAAAAAGTGTGACAACACTGCAATCTTGGACATCAATATTTATTATCTGAGGGATTATAATACAGATAAGTTGTTAAGTCTGTCCAAACATGTTTATTTTACTAAGTACTTGTAAAACGTTTGTCTCTTTTCACAATGGGTTCATGTCCAATTTCTACTTACCATGAAAGAACAATCGGAACATCTTTGTGTCGTAGAGTCTACAAGCACCTTGTTTGCCACACACTGTGTCCCATAGTAAACAGGCAGAGTCCACCAACGCTCCGTAGATGATAGGGCAAGGCACGTTACCTGTGAAAAACTTCTTGATCAAAACCTTTAAATGGATTATTACAAGTGGAGGAATTAGTAGATTTTAATATTTTGGGGGTTGTTGTAACTAAAATTGGTTCATCAAGGTTGATGTCTGACTTTTTACCTTCCAGAGGTCGCATCACGGAAGTAACCTCCAGGGATGTTTTATTTTTCGCGATTATATTATTTTGAGTGGTGTCGGCAGTGTGAGTGTCACTGTACCTCACGCGCCTCATTCCTGGAATAGAGTGAAGGTCAAAACTCACCCCTACTATTTTATATTTGTTAGTTTTGTTCAGTTTTGTAAGAGGCTGGAAGTAACTTCCATGTGCGCTCTGCCGATTCTCGTACAGCCTGGAGGCAACTTCCGTGATGCGACCTCTAGTTTAGTGTGAGCGTTGATTATAGCGTGTAAACTATTACTGTAAATAATTATTTTTTTACGATTCATGTCATTATTTAGTAAATATATAGTTTTTACAAGATTACAGAAGAAGTTAAATTTCGAATTGCAACACTCTTAGCCATGCTGAAAGGGAGATTCACGAACAACGTATGTACAGAGCCATTTAGTATTAAGATACCCATTATCTTAAATTACTTAAAACATCGGGTATTGAGAGTGTTATCAATTAAAACCACATTATAGGACATTGTGGTAAAATTTAAATTAACTTCTTGAATATATTCTTGTAAAAGATTTCTTCATATACTTTTATGTTAGAAAATTTTATAGAATAATAGTTTAATTTTATATTTATAAAATCTAAATTAAATTATTGTACAATTAAGAGTTCAATAAACATATTTTTGATGTTTAAAATTAAAAATAAAACTTAATTTGTGTACTAAAATAAAATTTTACTTCATAAATGTTTGTTTTTATTGACCCGGAAGTAACCTCCGGCACCCGGAGGGCGCACTGCCCTCTTCCGTCTTAAAAACTAATGCGCCCTCTGAAAGGTTAAATAGCTGGGACATTATTGCTCTTGCTCTTTGAGGCTCTTCCTTCAACTCAGTTTTAAGAAGACATGTAATTGTTTTACAAATAAAATGTAAAAGATTAAATAAAATGGGTATCTAAAACTATTCATTACACTCCTTGAGTTTTTAACATAGTACAACTGAACTCTCTTCTAAAACATTTTTAACTAGCCTATTCTAAACAAATGTTTAGTTAAAAACAATATATAAATGATAATTGCTAAATTACCAAAAAGGCCGATAGCAAACTGAATGAGACCCAAGGCCATTGCTTTGTCTTTGGGATCAACACAGCGAAGAATGAGAAGCATGCTGCCAACTTCGGAAGTCGAGTGGACAAAGACAAAGACGGAGAATAAGACGATGTACAGAGTGAAGTTGTTGCAGTCACTCTCACACACACCAATGCGCTCCGTTACTTGTTCATCAGACCCCATACAAGAGCATTCTGTGAACTAAACAGAAGAGTTGTTATTTTTCCTGAGTACTTTTGTCTTGAGATTATTTAAGTTGATCCCCACTTACATGTATAAATGGTGTGCATGACAACTGATAACAATATAGTTGTGGTAACATAAATCATTGACTTTGCCCCAACTCATTGACATTGGATAGTGTAGGACACTTAAATTTTTTTTAAGGAACATCTGTAGCCAATTTTATTTTAAACTTTAGATAAGGTTAAGGGGATATGGCACTGAAAATGCTAATTTCCTTAACATTATCACTAGGTCTTTCAAACTTATACCATGTGTTTTATAGTCATAAGAATAGGTAGTTAAAAGTAAATTTTTTTGTTAAGTTACACCCTTAATATTTTTTTTTTTAGGTAATTAACTAAATTTGATATAACTTCAGTTCTAATTATTGGATTTAATCATTAAACCATCAGTTTGCAGGGAATAATGCCCTCTAAATATTTTGGTAGAATTATAACAGTATCTTTAATTATTAATTTTTTATGGGTCATTTTGTAATTTAAAAAAAATAAATTGGTTTTCTGTGGAAATAAAAAAAATCTTTTTTAACTTTAGAATAGACATACATTTACAATTCTACCTAATTATTTAGATAATGACATTCTAAACACTTGGTAAAAATTTGAATCATGTAGCATAAACCGTTTTGAAGATATATCAAATTTAGTAGTTAAAGACGCTAAAAAACTGATTAGCGGGAATCGCACGCTCAAGTTACACTTGGCAGTGATGATACTTATTGTTGAGTTATGGATCAATTTTTTGTTTATGCAAGCATTTTATTATTATTTATTATATTATTATGTAATTATTACTTAATTATTATATAATTAATATTAAGAATAATGATAATTATTACTAAAATAAGTCAATGACCGGATTTTTTTTTAATTTCTTCCGTATTTTTCTTAATAAAGCCTAAGCACAAAAAAATATTTTATTTTTATTTTTGACCAATTTTTCTTATTTTTAGCATTATAAATAAAAAATAATAGACAAATTTTAAAAATCACTTTTTTGAATAAAAATTCATTATTTCAGTGCCATATCCCCTTAAGAGTAAGAGAGTAAGAGTAAGTTTATTTACATTATTGAGGCTATTAAGATTATCTCTATTGATAAATTAATGGTCTCAATTACACAGAGCGAATTTACAAGCTTCTAGCCAGCAACTGAATAAGCAGGATTGTCAATGAGTTTGACATACAATTCCCGCTTTTAACCAAACGAGAAGTGCATCGAGTGAGGGTCGCTAATACACTTGGCTAGTTTATGAGCTTAGTGAAACAAAACATACTTTGTAGCTCGTAAACCAGTCCTGTGTAGAATAGACGAGCCTTTAGGGTTTAGGGTACTAAAGTCCCTAAACCAGTCATACAGCGAAAACATGAATGATCCTTTTATAAATTGTGCTACTATTTTTATGTTTTCTCTTTTGGTTCTTCGTACTGCAAAGTTTTTGTTACATCGTTCATGTAAAATTTTGTTAGGTATTCAAAACAGGAAACAATATTTGAGAAATAAAAATGCTAAATATGTGTTTAAGTTTGAAGACAACTTTTCACTACGCCCAGGAACAAAGTGAATTCCTAAAAAAAAACTGTATTGATAAAATTGCATTGTCGTGTGATGCATGATATTTTTATAAAGATTTTTAGGAAAGTAATTTTAACCGTACTATTGGTGGAAATAAGTTATAGGTCCTAGGGGCGCCCAAATGCTAGATTTGGTCCTGGTCGGGCTGATGCTTTGATCTCTGTGATATTGCTGGTTTGTCATTTAGTTTCCAGTTTTGTTAGTTTCAATGACGCAGATTAATTAGAAAATTACAGAGCTGGGTAGGAGGGTGTTTGATCCATTAATTAATATTTACAAATGTAAATATTAGTCTAAAATTTAGACCCCGGGCATAAATAAGCCACAAAAACCAGAAAAATGTAAATAGGTGTGATATATGGGAGTGATATTTGGGTCTAGTGGTAGATCTCGCGGCTTCTCAGCCAGAGGTCTCAGGTACTAATCCCACTAATCACCAATATGGATTTTATCTATGTGATAATTCCCCGGCCCCAGAGAGGACTAGCCTGAAGTAATGCGTGAAACAGTTAAGGCTAGAATCTAGCGCCGAGGTAAAGTTGGGACATACAAAAATTTAAAAACATAGGGTGATACATAAACTTTTAGCTGAAGAAGACAGGCAGTAATAATGGTAATTTAGTACATTTATTCTCTTACATGTAGAAGAAAGGTGCTAAATAAACAAATCCGCCATTGCCTCTCACCCACCTGCTCTACAATAGACGAGTCTTTGCTGAGTGTATAGTTATGACAGCCTGCATGACAAGGGGAGTAGTAGGTGAGCCTATCCGAGCCACACACTGGGTTGAACTTCACCATGTTGCAGTTACAATCCAACTTGCAGGGAGGCTCAAACTTGGCTGCATTGAAACTGAACAGAAAACAGTGAATTAATATTCTGACTCAAATAAGTTGTGTGTAAGGGTTTAAGTGAATGGGTAAAATGCATTTTACTTCCTCCCCACCCACAATGTAAGGTCTACCACAATAACACATAGCTGGGTAGCTGAGTAGTTGTAATACTCAGTAAAAAAAGGTCGCTGGTTCGATCCTGAGAAAGAGAGAGAGTTGGCCCAACTATCCCAGACCATTGGGCTTTTAATAAATGTTCCGAGCAAAACCAGTTAAACTCTGTTAAAAAAATCATCATACAATGCTGTATTCAACACTCCATTCTGAAGATTTTAAGATTCTGAAGGCAACTGAAGTACAAGACTTAGTTGAGGAGGGTTGTCATGTCAGAATTAAGTAAAGTCAGTTAACCACGTAATCTTAAGCTCCCTCATCCACGGGGCTGGGGAAAATTTTGGAATATGTGGATTTTTAAAACTGGTTTTTATGCTATTTGGTAACTAATAGAAACCATCAAATAAAAATAGTATATTGTAAATCAGGGAGTGTAAGTTGTAGTTTTTTATACTAATGTTAAATAGACGGTATCAGAAATTTGACACATACTTTCTCCCATTAGCTTGTAAACAACCCTTATCATGGGTGTGATAATTCAGGGGGAAAATAACAAAAGTTGCGATAGTTTTAATAAAGTTGGTCAAATGATTTTTTATCCGAATTTTTTTCTTTAAATTTTTATGGGGAAAATTACTACAGTTGCAATCACTTTTACGCCACACTACATTATTTTGACGAACTTCCCACGCAAGGATTTAATCCAGAAAACAGCTGTTTGCCACCAGCTTATTCAAATGGGGTTTCATTGTGTACTACTGTACTGCAATGAGTTTTACCGGACACCAATCAGCTGATTATATTGTATTTAGGTGGCAATGAGTGGTTATAAACAAAAACATAAGAGGTTATGACTAGTGATTTTTAGTCCTTTAGTTGGTGGAAATATTATAAGGATTTGTACGGATTTAGTAGTATATCGTAAAATATCGTACGTCACTCGTCCAAAATGTGTTTACCAGACTCATGTGGTACTCCGTACTCAACTTCGTCTCGCACGGGAACGACCACACTCGTCCGGCAAACACCTATTTTCAGGACTAGTAACGTAATATACTATTGAACCGCTATTTTTACAGCGATGGGGGTTATACAATCTTGTTCAGAGTCAAAAGACGTTTACATTATTTTATAGATTTTTATTGGTGATTTTTTTTTCAAAGTCCTTAATACGTTTTAAAAGACAGGACAAAATTGTATTTCTTTGTAGTGACAATCACGGATTAATGAAAGTCCAGATCTTTGACGTACGAATTATCCATGCTCTACGTTAGGCTCCTAAATTATGTGTTTGTAAGCTCAAAAAAGAAGATAGTTTCGAGAGAAATTGCAAAATTTAATGTTTTGGAGGTAAAAAATATGGGAACCTTAGGAAATTTATTAATTCACAAAGAAGTAAAAATATGTTTTAAATATAGCAATGTTCTTGCAATGCTATTTTGATAACAAACTAATGGTAATGTTATCAAAGTACTGTATTGGATTCTGGACCAAGAGAAAAAAAATCAATTAATCTATGAAATGGATGCCTCAATAACCATAAGCACAGCTTACATTTATACTGTATTTTTGAAGTGGTATTTTGCAGGTCAGCTTTTAAGGAACATTGTTTACATTATTGTAATAGACAAGATGATGTGGCATAAATACTATCTTTTTTACAAGAAATTGTTTTAAGTATAAGATTGTCAGTTAAATCGTAAATAATTAGTTATCTTGGCCTAAATATTGAAACGGGAATCGATGTATATATTTTGTAACATGCAACTACAAGAAGGATTTACATCTAACGTAGTTTCTGTAACATCTCTTTCATTTCACTAATAGACACACTGGTTGGGATCATACTATTAGATCATTTGCAACTCAAATAGTCTCTTTTGAAAGTCAAATTTATGTCTAGAAATATCAGTAACAATGTGTGGGTGCCTTGTCTTCGTTTACTCACCCTTCGCCTATTTTCAGACCAGCAAAGTCGTCCATTGGACATCCAATAGTCATCAGGATCCCCATTCCTGAAAATTCAGAATTGCTGAAATTCCATGTCTGAAAACCTCTAACTTTTTTTTTTTTTTTTTTTTTAAAAAAAGAGGTTGGCGGCCTCTTTTAACCTTGCATTTGCCCGTCCACATAGACTAAGCGCCCGTGCGTGGATCGTTAACAGCAAAGCAAGGAGTGAGCCGGTACAGTACAAAGGTGAACTGTACTGATAAAATGTTATCGGCAGTGACCAGGATCCGAACCCACGACATCGCTGCCTTGGGCCCGAAGTCCGCGACGCTACCGACTGAGCCACCGACTCACTAAAAACTTAATTCCTTAGTTTTACCTTTGACTGGTTTTACATAGGACAAACATATGCTGTACATTGAATCCTTGATATCAACTACAGGAAACATAATTTACAGTCAAAACAGTTGGAAGGGTGACTATCAAATAAGTTAGTAGACTTGTTTATTTAATACCAGCTAATTTTATTGATTATACTCAAATGTACTTTGTTCACAATAGTTAGACAGTTTTAGGGAAAGAAATATCTATCCCCTGACCTCTCCACTTGACCCTTGCCTATAAAATAATGGTTCAACAGCTGATAAAGCAAACATTAAATAAAAAAAGTGGTAGGGGAACTTCCACTCTAACTGCCTAAATATTGTGAATAAACCATAGAGTGCACCGTAGTTCAAGATATTTTACATCTGGTACAAGTGTCTTCATGCATCGATCACCGAGGTAATGAGTACCTCAAATCAGCAACTGTCGATAACGCTGCCTGCTACATCATACAGGCAATATACAAAACAACAATCCCGACAGCATAATTGTCAGGTTACATAGCACAGAACCCATTACCTATTTAATATGGCCGCTGGAATTGGCCTGTGTGATTATATGTACTAAAGCACAAATTGCTAATCACAGTGTTCAAGGGGTTTTCTATAACCGGTTTCAAGGCCAAAGATGTTACTTTCCATTAAGCAAATGATACATGTTGTTACGGTGCCAGTTTGCATCGCAGAAAACGATAAATCATCATAGACATGGTTTTGCCGCAGGGAGACAAGGTTATGGAGCTGTGTTCCGTAGGAGCTATGTAACTGACCCACCTCTAGTGACTACCTAAGGATGTTTTTTTGAAAGGTTAATGTACCTAATTACAAGGCATTCAACTGATTGTTCCTAAATAATCAAATTATCTAAGACTATATTCCACAATCATCCTTCACTATACTCCACCGTTCAAAAAATTTCGATGGTTTTAAGGGTGGAAATCTATCCCTTCCACATCTTGATCCTATCATTTTAACATAGCTCAACAGATGAGATTTTTGTCAAAATGTCAAATAGCAGCTTAGGCATTAAGCATCCTCATCAGTGGTATATTGGATTTTAGTCCCATAAGAGCAATATTAAATTTGACAGAACATACTGTACCATCATTTCAGCATGTCGGTGTTATTTATAAAGTTATAGTTTTGAATATTTATAATTAGGTTTATAACATAGAGTACTAGGGATTAAGAAAGTAATATTCACCTTTTCTTAATAAATGATTTAATAAGGCTTAATTAATGATCATTAACTTATTAGGTGGAGAGGAAATGGCAAAACTAAAATATTAACTCCCTAGAGAACCACTAAACCTTAATTTTTACACCCAATCATTATTTTATCACAACAGTAGAAATTCTGTTACAAAAAGTTAACATTGCTCTTATGGGACTAAAATGCAATAAGGCTACCACTGATGAAGACTCTTACGCAGAAAAAAGTGGTGTAGGATTGGGGGGCCTCAAACCGCCTTAAATTTGTGAACGGACAATAGCCTTTTCCTCCTAGACACTAAGGTGCGCCATGAAATCTCAGCAAGCAAATTTCCTTTCTATTTCTTTCTCACAAAAAGTTCAACATGGTACTTACCTATTGCGTAGACAACGGCAGTAAAGGCAATCCATGCGGCCACAAACCTTGCATTGGGCTTGACTCTAAGGATGAATACTCCTGACATGATAATGCCCAGACCCATCACCAGGATGCCTCCAATGCCTGCAACACATTATTGACATTAATTTTTGTCATACTGTTACATCACACACAGGATGCTATGCTCGAACCCAGCATCGTTTATTCACATTTATATAGGCAAGTCCTAGAGGTTGCGGAATTTTCACTTGGATAAAATCCATTGGTGATTGGTGGGATTTGAACCAGGGACCTCGGGGATCTAAGTCCCGTGCTCTACCACTAGACCAGGTCACTTTCCTGATATTGGCAAATGATATATTGGTAGAAAATTGAAAATGATCTTAGAAATTGCTATTTTGTGTATTATTAAGATCGCAAAGTAGTCAGGCTTTCACACACTTAGGCCGCTGCTCAAGCGGCAATGACTGTTGAGCTGGTATTAATATACACAAGAGTGTTTCTACCACTATAATTAACACATCATAACTCACATATTAACGTTTTAGTTGTACTGTCATATATAAAATCTAATTATTTCTAGTTTATGTTGTTTGCTTACCAGTTGTTGAAAAGGAAATATAAATTGTTAAATTAATGTTTAGCTGCATCTATTTAACATGTCAACATGCTAGAGGAGAGATTGGTGAAGGGAATGTCATTGTTTAACCCAAAATATTAATCTAACTAGTATTCGCCAATATTTGCTTAATCAATGCAAAATGAATTGATGTTGGGAACCTTGGTATTGCTAGAGAAGAGAAACACTTGTCCTTGTTATTTAAAGGAGAAGGAATCTGTCTTGGTGAGTATGAATTATGTTTAGGTTTGATCTAACCCCAAACCCCATGGATATTGTTAGTGTCAGTGTCTCACAATGAATCTTGACATACGAGTAATCAGAGAAGAATCCTTTAAGATTCTACAAACGTTTGGTAAGTGGATAAAACGAAACGGATGTTGAACAACCCTTGGATTTTGGATTGGTCATGGATTTTGGAGTTTCTGCGGAGGGATTTTAACCACGATACAAAGAGAGGACTTCAACATGATTTTGCGATAGAAACATACTTTAGTTTAGCTGATTATCTCTCAACATTTTCTAGGCGAGACACGAATAGAGTTGCACTTGATCTTAAAAACCGAAGTTTAAACACAAACCTTTGGCCTTAGGCTTATCTTTACTTGAGTTATGAAAAAATGAAGAATGTGCTACGCCTCAAAAATCTTGTAGCGTAACCTAACGTCCTCAGTCATAACGTGATAGTAGAGACTAGAGATTAGAACTTCCTCACGCTCACACTCAACTTCCGCTGTATTATCACTTACTATAACTAACTATGACTTTCATTTTCATCTTAATCTCCAACCATACTAAAAAGAAAGAAGAAATACATTCATTGAGCGGAGCGAAGCTAAGCTCTTTGGGGTCGGCTTCAGTGGAAACATTCTAACACTATCACTCTATAATGGCTGAACATAATTTAGCCAAAGCTACCAAGGTTATTTTGACAAATGTTTGGAAGGTTTGAGACGAAATAATTTTAATTTTTTACTATGCCTATACAATTTTAAAGTGACTTAAAGTTTTTTAAATTTTAACATTTGACTTATGGGTTGTCATGATGGTTATAAAATAATGACGTATATTTAAACAAATGAGCATAGCGTATGTTCAAAATCAAGCCAAGATACGACCTCAACAGTAAACACAGAACAAAGGAAAAAATCTAATGATGACTACAGCACCACTGATAAAATAATACAGAGGAATTATTGGTATTACACGCCTTTTGGAAACTACCACTGATCAAATAGGCAAAGTATTTTATAGATTTTATTTCCGTAATCTAAATTAGGTCATAACAAATAATATTCATCTTATGTGATTGGGAATTAAAACAACTATATATGAATCAGAACTTTTAAATAACTAGTTATTCTCAAATCAATTTACCTATTATGATCTAAATAGTCTATTATGAACATGCTGCTTTATTATTTACTTTAAACAGTGCAATTAAACTTCATTATCCTGTTGTGAAATTTAAAACATATTCAATGCTTGTGGAAACGTTTGAGTGTGCCAATGGCGACTAAATATAACCACGTGTGTTTGATAGCAAAAATACACATGAGAGTTAAAAAAAAAAAAAAAAACAAGAGTTAATCAGCTGTTTTACATTAACAAAGCATTATTGTTAAATTAATGTTTATTTAAGTTGGCTCTTATCAAAACACGTGGTTTACCACTGAGTTTAAACAACGTTTTCTATAGGACTTCCCAACCTATTGTAAAATTTGAAAGATTTTTTATGATAGTACTGTATCGTGTTGGCAAATACACTTGATCAGCGTGTTCTATTGATCCGGCGTGTTCTATTGATCCGCATGTCGCAACGACTTGGGGTATAAATTGCCCAAGCAAGTAAGCCTAATGTTTTTACATTTTTGTTTTACAAGAAAATGCCTAATTCGCATAAGAGTGTGATATTAAGGACAATTGAAAAATGCATTCTCAAAAACTACCAGATACTTGTAGAAAATGAAGACGAGCAAATGAATGCTCGAAACACATGAACAAACTACTTCTGGCAATGTTTTGAGATAGTTGAATGTAGATTGTAGAACACTTAAAAAAATCCTTTTCATGTGTTAAATGTACAACATTTTAAGAAAATAGACTTTAAGGTATGGTGAATACTTTGTGAAATTATCTCAAAGCAAGTCTTTAAAATTTACCAATCATATGGATCCATGTCCATAATTTCTGCCTGAATTGCGAGACCTGGCCAAGATTGAAAAAAATGTCGATTGGTTGGGTTCAACCAGAAATGTGGGTTCACCAGATGACATTAGCAAGCAAACATAGAAAAATGCCGAAACAACGGATATGTATACAATATAATGTCGACATCTTTAGTTGTTATTAAACTTGTTATAGTTGTTGATGGTTCTGAGACAACTGATAAGTTACTTTGCCGTACCAATACTTTTAAACAACAATTCTGGTAAGAGTGGTAAGCTGGAAGGTGTATGACGCACTTTACAACTAAATCAGCATTTTTAGACAATACAATGCCGGGATTCCCGCGCCGTTCGCCAAAAGAATGAAAGTAGCCTCCGGTTAGAAAGTAAAATTCGATTAGTCCGCGAATATTGTCGATGACGTCATTTTTTAAGGTCAACTTCAAACGTGAACGTGAGTGAGTTGGAGAACCGATTGCACGTGAGCCTGTTGGGTTTTATTATTTTACCACCTTTGGTCCAGATAAAAATCTTGTTCAAATCCGACTCGTCGTGAGTGTAGTTTTGCACCAAATATTATTAGGTGAATTATACTTAGCTGTAAGAGTTTTGGTTTACTTTTCTGTAATCCGTTTGATCTGTAAATAATCAATCTGTGGTTACATAATGTGGTGACAAACTACTGTGTCATGCCTAAATATGTCAATGCAAATTAACACATTTAATTAAAAGGATTATCAACTAAGAATGTTCACCAATCTTATGGATTTCTTCCAAACTGCATGAACTGATTCATTTACTGAAATATGTCACAAACAGTACATAAGGCCTAATAAAAAACCCCTAATGGCCTAATGAATTATGTGTGTAACTCAAACAGCTCTCCCATCTCGACGATGGTGACGTCCACCAAAAACAATATTAAACAACAGCTGCTGTAATCAAGTTCTCCAAGAGTTGGCTTACGATCATATTGGATGTCCAAGTTCAGAGTGTTACACCCTTAAACTGTCGATTTTGGTAAGTATTTTTTAGTTCTACAGGTATTTTTTTAAGATTATTTTTATAAAATAAATTTAAGAGCTGGTATTTAAAAAATGATTGGAAGAAAAATGCAAGATACTAACCAGAGACCATGTTGGCAGTATGGGCTGTCTGCCTGAACTGCGACTCTAGGTACTTGGGCAAGAACGTGTAGAGCCCTGCGATGGGCAGAATGTGCAGCACACTACTGGCCGTGCGAAACATGAGGATGTCGTTCTTCAGCAACCTCTTGATGGCTTTCGGAAAGTCTCTGAGGCTGGGGTTCTTGCGTTCGCGCTTCTTCACAGAAGGAGCGACGACTCTACAAGTACTCAGTCTTTTAGGAAACGCAAACATGGCTAAGGACGCGAGCATCAGAAGCGCGGAGATGCACACGAGACCCAACCACCAAGCGCCGACCCATCGAGGGTCCTTGGGAGTCACTGGAGGGTCCACGGAGAGGTCGACGTACAACAGGGTACACAGAGACCCCAGGATGAACCCTAGCGCTGGTCCCAATATCCGCACTCCGATAGTGATAGCGAAGTACAACGGCGACTCTCTACCAGCCACGTTGTCGTCTATGTAGGGGATCCCTAGTGTGTACACAGCGGTCTGTCCCATCCCCACGCCTAACAAACTCACGAAGAATATCACCAGCACTTTCTTTGTCGTCTTTGTCTGCGCATTCTGCTCCTGCATCGCCTCCTCTCTACACTCCTCCAACGCCGGAGTGTTGAGGGAGAACAACTCCGCGGCGTGGCAGACGTCGGGCCTCATCACGGTGGAGTTAGGCGTCTGGGTGATGCTGTTGAACATCGTCTCTCTACTCTGCATCAGCTGTTCGCCGAAGATGAAGTGCGGCAGGGAGCAGGTGAAGGATGCGACGGCGAACAGAACCATCCCACAGGCGATCCACTTGGGTCGGTGACCCTGGCCGCCGTAGTACGTCAACAGCAGCGAGGAGCCTATCTGACCTATCTCCGTTGCACTCATGATCACTCCTGTGGTCTTGCTCTGCAGCTGAAACAGCTTCTCTATCGTGGTGATGACGCTGACGAAGTACGTGTAGTACATCCCCTGCAGCACCCAGGTGACGCAGAATGTGACCAGGAACGCCTGCTTGGAGGCGAACACCTGGAGCCAGCCGGGAGTGCACATTCCCAGACCGCACTGCAGGTCTTCGCCCCGCGACTCCGGCCTCCTCGGCGACCCCGTGATGGCTGCACCGTTGTGCTCCGCCAGCAGGGCTGCGCCTCCGCCGTTCGTCACTTGCTTGTCCCACACCACTTCTTCTCCACGTGAAGGCGCCACCATCTTGTCTTCTGGCATTACCCAAACCTGCAAAAACAATAATGGCGGTTACACATTGATTCAGATCCAATTCCAACAAAACAGTAAATAAGTCAAAATATTTTATCTACTGCAGAAGTTTCTGTATGGAATGTGGTAGATATTTGAGATAACTTTTTACAGCTTGAGTTTCATTTTCAAACAGATCCAATTCCGATAAATTTCAATCATGTACTCGGTCAACTTTACTAATATCATAAACGCGAACGTTTGGATGTTGTTAGTATGTCACATTATTTACGTTCAAAATACTGGACCAACTGAGCTGAAATTTTGTAGGTGCATAGCCAATATACCACATATAAACAAAATCCTATTTTATTTAGAAAACTCTACTAAGACTCCGCCCCACTGGTTTCCAAAGTTACGTTATTCTTATGAATACACCACGAATATTAGAACAGAAAAGGTATGGATCATAAATGTGAACAAATTACGTCACCGGCCCGAATCCTTTACTATTGGAATAACTAAACTGTTTGGACGTTTGTTCCATTTAAATAAATAATACACAAATATTTACTTTCGGGCCAGTGACATCTACTCCTTTGTCTAATCTATGGTTAAACACAAGTCAGTAGCTGGATTCTACTGTTGATGGGGACTGATCAGAAATAGTGAACAGTAAACACGTCTGGGCGGTAAAAATAGCGCGTCCGACCGAAGAACCAGGTCAATGGCATGTGAAGTCGGTAGTCGCCATCACATCACAGCACATTGGTGTTGTTGTATATCCATCCAACATCCTACACTATGTCATAAGATTACATTTCATCATAGAGTTGACTTTTGACTTTATCCAACTTCATGGTGGACTAAAAACTGTGTTCGTTCACATTATGAGTTGGTAGAGGGGTTTCTGTGGGTTTTATTACTAACTAGGCCTACATACTGTATCTACGCTATGGTATACGTATTGACTTAGTCTAGATGGACTATCTATGGGTTTCCCGACTTGGTTATCCAGATTGAGTCATCCTATCTATAGTCAATGGCATATACGGTTCCAAATAGTTCTTGTAATGTATTTAGTTTTCAAACACGATATCACATCCCAAAGATTAACGTGAAAATCTCAAAGTTGACTTTTTATTCAATCTTTTCCATAATTTGATTGACGAAAAAACTGCCACGTGATGTCGTAAATGTACTTATTTCATAATTTGGTTTTTACTTTTCATTCTCTCTCCTTATTTATTATGAGAAAGTACCGATATTCTTTAGTCTAATTTTGAGAATTAAAATGTTAGTGGGAATTGAGCAACAAACTCCTGAATATAAAAGATATGGTGCACCTTGTTGTAAAAATACATTTTTATCCTCGGTTTACCTTTTTAACCACTCACCCAATAGGAAAATAACATTTTTGGTAAACATTTAAAATCCTAATTTTCAGTGAAAATATTGACACAAAATACGATTTGGTACCCCGTAAGTTTAAGAGTTTCGAATTTGATTACAAATCGGTCTAAGCTAAGCCAAAACCCCCAAAAACTTGTCATTGAAATACCATTTAATTCTACGGTTTAATTGTATGAATTAAATTTTCCTCTCACGATTCCGTTCAAGAAAGTATGAAATTCCTCATACATTGTCATTAAATCCCCTCGTTCTTACATTTTACTTTTTAAAACTTTATCTCCTTCATGTTTTCCCAATTGTTCACAAAAATACAAGAAACAGTACCCCATTCATTAGTGTAATACCATTGTCTACGTCAAAGGTAATAAATACCCAATTCATCCCTCAGCTTACTTTTAAACAGCCCATTAATACAATACAATACAATCCTAGGTTCGATCACTAACTTGTTCATGTTTAACAGTCGAAGAGTCACACAAACCTCTCATTGAAGGAGGTCTAGGGATAATTATTAACTCAAACAAGTTATGTGTGAACAGCTGTTAAATTGTTTGCATTTTGGCGCCGGGATGTCCGGGGCTCAGTTTTAAATTGACGAGGTAATACAGGTAGACAATTATTCTACACTAGCAGAGTACCCGTCCTTCGTACGGGGTTGGCATATAATTATAAAATGCTTATTGCAGTTATACTCAAGCTTTGCGTATGGAATGGCGGAGAACACAGTTTGATAAAATTTGCTTCTTTAAATTTACAGTGTGGCCTATACTAGAGTATTACACATCTACCATAGACATAATGTTCTACCACTTCACCTAAACAATAGAGAAAAATAAATTATAAAAATTCACAAAATATCACAAGTAATTCATGAAATTAAAAACATAAACATAACTGTGCACGATCATACTTTTGACATTTCTCATTGCGTATCACAATTGTTTTTGTTGCTGCTTAGTTCAAATTAGCTGTTGTCATAAATGCAAATATTTATATATACTTTATATACATTATATACTTATATACTTTCATATACTTATATACATTATATACTTTATATATACCATTTATATACTTTCACATTTATAATATTATACTAGCAGAGTACCCGTCCTTCGTATGGGATTGGCATATAAGTTTAAAATGCTCATTGCAGTTATACTCAAGCTTTGCGTTTGCAATGGAGGAGGACAAAGTTTGATACAATTTTTTTCTTTAAATTGACGGTATACTAATGGTATACACATCTACCATAGCCAAAATGTTCTACCACTTCACCTAAACAATAAAGAAAAAGAAAATATTACGAATTCACAAAAATCACAAATTATTCATGACATGAAATACATAAACATAACTATCATGATTATTCTACATTTTATGAATATCCTTAAATTACAAAATACTTAAGGACGTTTCATCTAACTAATTGTTCATCAATTGTGTACACTGAAAAGCATTGAAACAATTTTTATTACTGTAATTCGAAATAGTTTTGTGCATAATTGGATTTTTTTGTAAATTCCAGTTATCGGTATTACGATTGAAAGTTAAATATCACCCCAAATTTATTGGTTCGTAACAATATTGCTTCTGTCATCTCTTCTTTAGTTATATAGTCGTTTCTGCCCCTCCCCCCCCCCCCTAACCGTGACAGTTTTCTTGAAGAAAAAAAACTACGAAGTTTCGTTGGTTGAACTAGCAACTAGCCATATCTACCGACAGTTAATATTTTATAATTTATAATTAAAGTCTTTCCTCCTACATTTTGTACTCAAAAGATAAATAGCGTAAGAATTGTATACTGATAAATTAATTATTTGCATTTTACTTAAATGAACTCACTTATAAAAACGAAACCTACTCCACGTCTGCTAGCTTCTGTTCCACCTAGCTCTGCAATTTGATTTCCATTTCGTTGATCCGAATTAAAATAGAATCTTTCCCCATGAGAATTACCAGAGTCGCCACACGAAGTTGGGATTGAAACTAAACTAAACCACATATGAAAGCTAAGCTTTCGAATACTTTCAAGTACATTAGTACCTTCCACTTCCTAGAACTACCAGAAGTACAAGCCGCACACGTTGAGGCTAGGTGCATCCGTGCGTCACAAATCGTCCATTGTTCCTCAAATGCATTTTATTTACGTCTCATACTAATTGCAGGGGGAAAGCTGTCAATTTGTGGTAGATTCCGGTTTAACCTCACCCAAAATTGGAAAATTATAACGTAGACAAAATCATTGTATTATATTTAGACTCTTTCGCCCTCTACGGAACTCTTTCAGACCACATCACATACTTGTATAAAAGCGTGTTCAAAATCACTCAAAAATGGTATCGTAATGTTTCTTTATTTTGATTTTGGTCTAGGTCAGATTGAAATAGCCAGAGTACCGGTATTGAAAACTAATATTTTCTTGACCAGTACTCTGTCTTTCTTGGAACGAGCATTTAATTTATTAGATTTTTTTCATTGCAAACTTTATGATTTGATATTTATACCATTTACATAGTACACCGTGTCCCCAAAAAAACTTAACAATTTTAAATTGTTATATAATACGTCCAGGCATACCTAGTTTACTTTGAAGGTGATCATATCATAACTGAGCTCATGAAGTTTTGTTCAATATCAATTGTAACTATCAGCTGATTCATTGTTGTCGCTTGAAACTTGAAATTTAAAAACATTGCCCTGTCATTAAGCAGGCACCATGAACGCACGAGAGAAAGCGCAATTCGTTGAGTGGTACATTCAAAGTAAGTCAGATATTGCAGTGCAAAGAACATTTAGAAGACGCTATGGTCGACGTCCTCCATCACGGAACAGCATTCGAGCCTGGTATGACAAATTTATGTTAACTGGAAGCTTACAACATTTAAAAGGTAAAGGTAGGCCGAAAATCCAAAATGAATTGATTGAAAACGTGCGACAATTATTTCTTCACGACCCTCGAAAGTCTGTTCGCTGTGCAGCATGTGAGTTAAATTTGTCAATTTTATAAGTTTATAAGACAGTAGTTTCCGATGTCTGAGAATTGAGGCAAAGAATAAATGCAGCCTTTACTAACATTACTGACGAAATGCGCCATAGAGTGTGGACTGAATTGGACAGCCGTATTGACTATCTTTCTGCCAACAATGGCAACCATGTTGAAAATCATTAACACATATGATATCAAACAAAACTTAGGAATATTTGGGTCAGTTAAAATGTAATTAGTTTATCGTGTGATTGTTAATACACTTTTTATGAGTAAATGAAATTGTTCAGTTTTTTTTGGAACGCGGTGTACCTATTTAATTTTGCGATAGGACCATGATGTTGTGTGTCTCTTATTTTATTTCATTTCGGTTGAACCTCGTTCCTCTGCAAGGGACAAGCCGACGTTACAGGGTGTTTGGTTAATTCATAAGCTCTGTTTCGTTCAGTGTTTTATACAGTCAAATAGTTGTTGTGTGACAGAGGTGGGTTCACTGGGACAATGGCCGAGGTTCAATACTCTAGCTCCTAGCAGACTCCTGCCTTGCATTGGACACATTCCTAACTAGCATTGTACATTGGCTATACCGTATGTATAAAATATAATGGCTGCACTTTACTTTAGGTCCTACATTCAT